TTATGAACTAGATAATGATAAAATTGGACACGCAATTTCAAATACCTTGGTTACCTTATTTAAAAGTACTTGTCCAAAAATATTTGTATATGTATACATTTATTTCTCTCGTGAGTTTGGATGTAATTTGTGGTTGTGTGTGTCGAGGGTGTGCGTTATTATCATGGATTTTGGGTACCTATATACTAAATCTATGGTTGTTATTATTATAAAAAATCTTGCAGCATAATTTTGTTTGTTTATTTGTTAATTGTTTGTTTGTTACTAATATAGTATAAGGTTGCTTACTAACAAACTATGGACCTATGGGGTCTGAAAAATAAAAGATTTTTATTTTTATTTATTTATTTATAATACGCTGCATGAACATGTTTTTTAACCGACTTCGAAAAAAGGAGGAGGTTCTCAATTCGTCTGTATGTTTTTTTTTGTATGTATGTTACGCGATAACTCCGCCGTTTGTGAACTAATTTTGATGATTCTTTTTTTGTTGAAAAGAAGGTACCTCAGATGTGATCCCATTTCAATTTCAAGAAAATATTCCAACCTCTAAGGGTGGCAAACTAGGGGATGAATGACCTTCGAGGTAGGTTTTTTAACCGGAGGTTAGGTTATTCTTAACGTTCTTAGTCCTTTTTGGTTTGGAACCTTTTTGTGGTTTAGTCGGGCGTTTCTTGAAATTTAAAAAGGTTGGGTTCTTTTTGAAAGTCTGTTTGGTTGGTGTTTTTTGTTTTTTGGTTGACAAGAAACTGACGTACGGTTTTTTCTCTAATAAGAAAACGAACGAATCAACTGAATTATTGTAATTGCACGTTCACCCTCGATATACTTTTGCCTGGGTGCTTGATGTGAGTTGTGAGAACCACGGACACATGTCTGCGACATACTAAATGCAACGACTACCCTACCACCCGAGGAAATTCTGGATGCATTTTCAAGTACCAGGTGCTGAGTACATACACCGTTAATACATAGTCCTCCGTTCACCCGGACAATTTATTACCGTGAAGAGTATCGTGTCAAAATTGCTATTGACGTTAAATCGTTATTTCTGTTTCCTGTTTTAATTCAGCGGTGTTGTGGAACAAAAAGTGTAGTGCAAAATCCTTAGGTTTTCCCTTCTTTATATAATTAGTAGCTTGTACTAATTCCGGCAGTAGAATATTTTTGTTTACCTTTTTATATGTGATGTGTCGTAGTTTGTTCATCTTCTAAATCCTGTAGTGCTATATCTTTGTTTTTCTTTTTTATATGTGTTGTGCCAGTTATTTTTCCCTATTGTTGATTCACCATGAACGCTCTTTTTGTAGCGGCAAAATTTGTCGTCTAATTCGAGGCCCAGACTCGGTCCAGTGTAGCTCATACCCTGTTTATGCTACAATCTTCAATATTATTCTGGTTAGTGAATTAATGAAAAATATAATATTATATCGATATAAATACCTGATGAACATTTTAATTATTAGAATTCTATTAATACATAGGGCGCACTATAAGTTTCCGGAACTAGCCACTTACAAAAACAATATTTAAAAGTAATTACAACATTTGAAAATGGAACTCTTTGGCTGAGAATACAGTTTGTTTCGTCTGACTGTCACTTGTTTTTAAATTGTGGCGTCATTTTAGAAATTGGTTGTCTACATCACCATGGATTTAACTCGTGAAAATTTTCACATTTTTTTTAGTTCATTTTTATAAATAGCGCCTAAATTTTACTACGGGGAGCAATTATTTTAATGGTTGATTTTTGCTATTCTCCAATTCAAGGCGTTTTGCTCTCTCAATATACTTTGAGTAGTGAGAAACGATTTTTATTATCTCCTGTGTCAAGTCCCGTGTAGTGGCGAACTAGGGGATGAATCCGGGTTTCCGCACTTTTCGGTGACCGATTTCAATAAAACTTGGCAAATAAATGTAATTCCACGTACTTTTGAGGTCGGTTTTTTAGTACTCTGTACTGAGATTATTATGATTTGATGTTGTTTTGGTTTAGAGACTTTTAAACACGAACCCGACGTCCATTTGTTGGTATGTCAATGCCATGAAATTAAAAATTTGTGAAATAGAAATGAAAGATGATTTTAATATTTCTGAAATAAACATTTATTATATAGCACATTAAAGTCCTTTATTTACAATAATAATAAAAATTGTAACTATAATTTTAATTAAACTTTAACAAAATCGCACCAACGCAACATCCAATTTCCCAATATTACTTTTTGCGCGGCAAAAACGCCGCCATTGTGTCTATGAAATAAATATTTTAACTATAAAAATTATCACAATTAGTTTTAAAGTAAAGAAATAGTGCAAAAAATGCTTATTTGATAATAAATTAGTAAAATCGATAACTAAAACAAGTCAGACGGACAAACTTATTAAAGACGGACTCTATTCTAGACCCTCGCTATGGTCCGTAATAAATTTTTTTTTTCTGGTAGCAACGTGAACATTCATATTAGAAGGTCAAGGTTGATATTTAGGGTGAGGCCAGACGAGCGTAATTTTATGAGTTGTAATTGTAAGTCGCGTTTTTTGAGACTCGTAATTTTCGTTCGACCGAAATCGATTAGGGCGCCAGACGAACGAATTTTATTCAGTTGCTTTTAAGCATTTGCACGGGTGTTTGTGTCATATAATGTAATGGCTCCATTAAAAATAGTGTGCATTTATAAAGCGTTAGATGATATTTGTTAGTAGGTCAATAAAAACAAAAAGATGCTGCACATCCACCTAGACATGGAAAGACTAAAAAAAAGTGTGAGCAGTTTCATATACTATATGAAAGTTTATGTGAATATAATTAATTATTAATACAAAGATCGAACACTTAGAAAACATTCCTTCGATCCGGCCGGATTCGAACCGACGTCTTAGAAGACGTCTGTTTGCGGCTAAAAAGTCGTTGAAAAACCAAATACGATCCGACAACCGAGGATCCGACAACAAGCACATAGAAAAAATCATGAGGTCCGCTGGTTCGTTCCATAGCTTAGTTGGCATAGCGTCTGGCACGGTCTGCTAGAAGACTTCGATTCAAATCCGGCCCTCTATCGGTAAAAATAATTGAATATCAATTAAGTGAATATCCAGATCAATTTGTAAAACTCTCCATCCGCACAAATACGTCACACAGTGCGACCATTTTGCGTCATCGTGCGGCACATACCAGATTTTAATATAAAATCGAATAGTGTAAATTTAGTGACTCAAAAAAACACGACTCACAACTCAATAGATTACGTTCGTTTGGCCACACCCTTAACGTTTAAATTCGACCTACGCCGCTTGCGATAAGAACTACCTAAAGCCCAAAAAAAACTTGTCGGGTAATTTTGAGGTAAAGTTTTTGTACTTCATTTTAGTGACAATTTTTATTATTTAATTACTCGAATATATTCAGGTTACCACACTCGAATATTAAATAATACTTCATGATGATATTCTATAAATATTTTATATAAAAGGAAATTGTCACCAAAATTAAGTACAAAAAACTTACCTGAAAATTACCCAACTGTACTTGAGCACCATCATAAGTTATTTAAAAATAATTTTAAAAAGTAGCTGATGTACTTTAGTATGTAACCGCGTGTACAATAGTGTCTCCAAAATCGTATTTAATTACATTTTATACCCTAATAAAGTCGTAAATTGACAAAGTTTTTACAATTATACATTTTCAATTTGTTTAAATTTTTAACCGACATCAAAAAAAGGAGGAGGTTCTCAATTTGACTGCATTTTTTTTGTTACACACAAATGTTACGCGATAATTCCGGTAAACCGGTGAACTTATTTTGATGATTCTTTTTTTGCTGGAAAGAGGGTACCTCAGGATTGGTCCCATTTAAATTTGAAGAAAATATGCCTTCTTAAGGGTCACAAACTAGGGGATGAATCCGGTTTCGCGCACTTTCCGGTAACCGGTTTGAATAAAACTTGGCAAATAGGTGTAATTCCATAAAGTTTTGAGGTCGCTTTTTTATAATCAATATTTTATTATATTAAATTATTGTGATTTAAAATTCTGCGTTTTGCTTTTTCAGCGTCATGTCATGACTGAGAGTAACTATAATCCTCAGGACAATTTAAAGTGTAATTATTCCGAGTTCATTGTCCCATAACACAGACGGTTTAAACTAGAAAAATAATTTGATTTGTCAAGTAGAACCTTAAAGAATGCATTTGTAAACATTCCACTTACTTCTTAGCTGGCTATTACATTTGTAATTTAGTACAATAGTAAATACTAACATAACATTTTGAGACCTTTTCAATTAAAAAAATTTTAAAAATATGTGTTTTAAGGGATTTTTCCCTGTCCGGTCGGTAGGCGGAGCGAGATTGTTTTTTCCCATGCATACGATTGAGCATTATATGGTCATTGTACAGTCTATAGAAAAATAAATGAAATAAAATAATTATTGCAAAATAGTGATAAGGCTTCACATAAAAAATACAAAATATATGTACAGCCCCACCGAGTCGCGAGTGTCGAGTTTACGTTGTCTATAATAAAATCGTTGGGAATACTCTGATGTTTGGTATAAATTTGTCAATATTTACTTAATAATGCAATATCAACAGGGGACTATTTAATCATTTAAATTTTAATACATCGACTGCGAACTAGCAATCGGTACTATCTCAATTTTGACAACTTAAAAGGATGAAGAAAAGAATTGTTTGCGTCATTTATATAGCATCTGGTTTATTAAATAAAAATACGTAGTTTTTGAATATTTTTATTACACATGTACTTGTATGTATGTACACTACGTATTTTTATTTAATAAACCAGATGCTATATAAATTATTTCTTCTTCGTTCTGTAAAGTTACCAAAATCGAGATAGTACCGGTTGCCAGTTCACAGTCGATATTACATTTATATATCTTCAATTTTGTAAAGTTTTTTATTTATGAACTTGCTTAATCGGAGGTATGGGAAAAAATGTTCCCCCTCCTCCGATCGGTGGACAGCGAAAAACCCAGCTAACTTTAGATTGTCCATTTGTATTCTGCTAGCAGAAAAAACAAACTGACCAGACCAGATATACGCTTAACTCTTTCATGAAAACTAGAATTCAGAAAAAGCATTATAATAATAATAATAATAATAACGCTCACAATCAACATAGCCCCGCACTAGGGAAACCCTGTGTCGCGGGTGCCATGGACACACACATAGACAACCACAAATTACACCCAAACTCACGAGAGAAATAAATGTAGGCCATACAAGTATTTCTCCCGGCCCGGGAATCGAACCTGGGACCTCTGCGTGGCAGTCCGGCATGGTAACCGTTCGGCCACGGAGGCAGTTGCATTGCATTAGCACAACCGTGACTGGTACGACAGACCAAGATTGTTAAATCCGTGACATCATCGTATCAGCCGGAGGACGGCCACTGCTGAACCTCAAAGATAGCCAGACTAGCTAGCTGCCAGGTCATCCGTCCATCTAATAGGGGGTCGTCCTACTGAACACTTTCCGGTTCGTGGTATTCATTCGAGAACCTTTCTGCCCCAACGGCCGTCAGTTCTACGAGCTATGTACCCTGTTCACTGCCATTTCAACTTGCTGAATCCGTGTACGCTTTAAGTAAAAAAGTCTTAATGGTTTTATTTATTGTAATAGAAAGGATACGCCGTTCCAAGAGAAAACGTTCATCGGTGCAAATAATTTTTCTTCAACTAGACCACTTACTATCATATTCTGATATTTAATTTTACTGTAAATGCTGTTACTGGGGTCCACTATAGTTCCCGTCCAAAACAATAACCGTCAGATAAGTAATACTTGACTTTGTATTAACAAAAGACAATATCAAGTATCATGCGCCTTAAATTTGGACCAGTATTACTTATTTCACAGTCATTGTTTCGGACGGAAAAGGAGAGTACCTACAGGGCCTGTCCATGAATGGGTTAAGTAGGAGTGAAAACGCACCTATGGTATAACAAGGCCTCATATGACAACTTTTCAAGAGAGAGGTTTTAAGCGTAAAACATAGAGTTTTGGGGACCGCGGCGGGTTTAATTCCATGTATTTATATGGACGACAACACACCAAGGGCCGCATCAGACCTGCACCCGCCCGCTCTCTGTGTGTTTCACGCCTAAAGACTTTATTTATGTTTAATAGGAGTTATAAAATTTTACATATACATAATTTGTTTCATATAGTTAGTATTATTTTTATTACCTTCCAGTGATAAAAGCTCTTGACGTATGATCACATGTGGCTAAAATATACCAAGAAATGCTGTTAATTTAAACTGACCCAAGCACAGAATTTTAGGATATTCCGGTAGTGTATGGAGTTGGCGTCCAATTGTAGGGTTTTATTCTGGACATCACTAACCATTTTTTCGACTTTTACAAAAATAATTTAGAATCTTGACGTCACAGAACAATAAATACAGTAGAAGTGGTTAGTTTACGTGGCACGTGTGCCAACAGAACGCGAAGTGCCACATATTTGAGCTCATTCCGCCATTTTCGCTTTGTACGTTTACGTTACGCTACAAAAATGCCTTATTTCGCTACTTTGGAGTAGTACATAATATTATGTATGGTGGTATTTCGTATCATCATTAAGTCTTATTTTATTTAATTTTAATGAATTTTTAATTTTCTGTATATCGTAATCATTAATACAAAGATCGAACACTCAGAAAAAATTCGTTCGATCCGGTCGGATTCGAACCGACGTCTTCTTGCATACCGTACCAGACGCTATACCAACTAAGCCACGGAACGAACCAACGGACCCAACGAATTTTTCTATGTGCTTGCGTCGTGTTTTGTATTTGGTTTTTCAACGACTTTCTGTATATCGTTTCCCTTTTTTTTTTTGTTAAAAGAAACGAAAGTAAAACCTTAAGCGCTGCGCAGATGGAGCAACTTTGATCATCGAGTTTCGGCAACTGGCAACCCGCTACTAGCTGTTTATGACGTTTTTCATATAATTTCAAGAAACCGCGCAGACTTAGCAGCTTCAGTTGAGAATTTCGGCAATCGACTCAGTTTTCGATTGTCGAAATCCTTGATTAAATAAATTCTTAATTGCCGCAACTAGAAACTTGCAAATTTGTACCGGTTAACTTCACTCCCTCCTCGTTCCCCGCAGCGTCAGTCTTGACAGTGGATTTCGAAAGTTTATTTAAAATTGGGGCAACCAGCAACGAGGCCTTTTAGTTGCCACAACCGACAACCGTTAACGGAAACTTGTAAAAAGATGCCAGTTGCGCCAACTAAAGTTGCTCCATCTGCGGAGCGCCTTAGGCGACCATATAATGATCACTTTTTTTTTGAAAAATTTGTAAACATTTCAAACTCGTCGTCGTTCAGCTATTAACCTCTAGATGGCAGAACATTGATTGAAATTTCAACACAAAATCGAAATATCGTAACTTGAAATAATAAGTATTTAACTTTCAACGATATGCCAACAGGGTAAAGTTTAAATTACAGTCCAGAATTTGTTACTTCATTTTAAATTTGAAACTACGATCAATCATTGTCAATACGTCATAGTGTTTCAAATTATCAATGTGCGAGTTTTGACGACAGCGGTTCTGATGGTAATTGGGGCAAAAGGTACTTCTATTAATTTTCTTCTTCCGTGCTTGACGTCATGAAATTCTTACGCATGTTGAATAATATATACTTACTGTTCAATGTGGTATTAATGAGACTGAAAATCAGTCACCTAAGGAGTGACCTATGCATGTCAGTGACATGTCGTACATAAGACTAAATATTGTCGTAACTCAAAAATTAAGGAATTGGGAAAACACGATTTGAAAAATTAGTAAATGAAACCATTTTTATATTCTCGTTAATGAGTAGACAGGTAATTATTAGGTATGTATAAATAAATAATCCCATTGCTCGCAATAACCTTAATTCTGTTTTTTAACCGACTTCAAAAAAAGGGACGTTCTCAATTCGACTGTATTTTTTGGTACGTATTCGTGAACCGATGTTGATGTTTACTTTTTTGTTGAAAAGGTACCTCATTATTGGTCCCATTTAAATTTGAAGAAAATATTTCACCTCTAAGGATGGTAAACTAAGGGGTGAATCCGGTATCACGCACTTTCCGGTAAACGATTCCAAGTAAAACTTGGCAAACAGATACATCTGGCCATGACGCGTAGTTTTGATGTCTTTTTTTAATAAAAAAATTATTAATTTTCAAATACAAAAAAAATTTAATTCCATCATTTTTGAGTAACGACAATAGCTGGTTTCATGTGCGGTTGTAATGCAAACAAATCGAACACAAATAGTAAATTCTATTATTATCATATTTTGTGTTCAATTCGTGAATTTGTGAAATTATTTTCAGCGCGTGCAAAATTGATAGCTGACGTAACGCTTACCTTTACAAATCCGAGCTAGAAACAACCTTAGAGCTAAAAAACACACAACAAATTGACTTGTTTTGTGTGGAAGAGCATTGGATGGATGTTTGTGACGTATTTTTTCAATCGCTGTTGAAGTTTCGATTTTTTTCATTAAGCGGGTCATTGATTATACTACATGTTGGTCAACACAAAGTCGGTAGTCATGGCGTGGAAGTAAACCAAGTCCACCTCTTACACCACTAACAATTGGTAGTCCTTTTATTTGTCATAAATAAATAAATAACAAGAGCACTTGTGTTACAGAAATCGGAAACAACGACGGTACCGCAAACACCCGGACCAGAAACAATATAGAAAAGTTAGTTTTCTACATCGACCCGGCCGGGGATCGATCTCGAGACTTCAGAGATGGTGACACCATGAAAACCGGTATGCAAACGACTCGACTACGAAGATCATCATACGTGGCATAGAATTTTATTTTAAAGGGTGTGACGTGGCAAATTCTTAAAATTTTGTTTCTATTGTCTTTCCAACAATGAATAACAATGCGATATTGTATATTGTGTGCAAAAAAATTACCAATTTTTTCCTGTTATTTTTTTAACCGACTTAAAAATTACGTTACGCGATTAGTACGAAATTTAATAAATTAATAAATAAATAACGTACATATTGATAGCCCAGCACTAGGGAAATCCTGTATCGCAGCCTTGGACACACACATAGACAACCACAAATTACAGCCAAACTTACGAGAAAAATAAATGCAAAAATTTCTCCCGCCCTGAGAATCGAACACGTGACCTGTGCGTGGCAGACCGGCATGGTAACCGTCCGGCCACGAAGGCAGTTAAAATTTATGAACAAATTTCGATGATTTTTTTAGTTGGAAAGGTACCTCAGTAGTGGCTTCATTAAAATTTGAAGAAAATATTCCACCTGTAAGTGTGGCAAATTAGGGGATGAATCCAGTTTATTGGATTTCACCCAATTTCGGTGAAGCGATTTCAATTAAATTTGACAAATAATTGTAATTCCACAAACTCTTGAGGTTGGTTTTTTTTAATAAAAATTATTGGAGTGTCAAATGGTAACGAAGATTGGCGTTCATTATGGCCAGCTCCATATTATCTGGTGCCAAATCATTGCCTCAGATTCTACCATTCTTGTCTGCCCGGTTTCGGCATACCTGAATCTCATCCTCCAAATAGTCACGAGGCCTTTTAACAAACCTTAAAACTTGTAGTTGTGCAATGATAATTAGAAAGATGAGACTAAATGAGTAAACCTTTTTGCACAATTAGGGTAAAAATGGTCGCTCAACTTTATACTGTATCTATGCCAACACTAAGTTTGTCCAGCTTTGGCATCCAACATGCGCAGTCTCGAATGTCCCGCTTTAAATTGACAATAAATTATTTACAATATCTACACTTACATTGCTACAAGACTGAATGTTAGTGCCAAATAAATTGACTATCCTACATTTTTTAATATAAACTTTAAATGACTCTGACTTATTTATTATTTACAATTACTAACTGAATTAACGACAATTGCTATCATCCCATCACATTTCACAATAATATGACACTTAAGAGGAAACGTTTGTAAATCCGTTACACGCCCATTCTTCATGGTAAAATAATTGTCTGACTTACCTAGAATGTATGTGACCCGACTTTTAAGTACAAAGAGTAAAGTACCTCAGAATGTATACGCCTCTTTCAAAACCTTGTCGGGTATATTACTAACATCATAAACAACAACTTTTATTCCATGACGTTTTACAACACGTAATAAATCTTTAAAGTCTTTGTTTTACACTTTAAATCAGTATTTGGTAGTAAGTTGTTGAGCAACGTCTCTACGTGCTGTCTTTTGCTACCGCACAGGTATATCGTCGTTTAGAACTATAACTATGATTTTAAATATTTTTATTTTTGTGTGAAAGTAAAATCTGATGAAGTTTTAAGTCATGGAGGACCTTCTTTCTTTGACTGCACTAAATTACGGTGTTCACTGTATGACATCCTCCCTCCCTCTATCCCTCGTCCTACTTCCTTTGAATGCCTGTTGTCCCTATCTTCTCGCCCAAAAATGGATCATTATTCTTTTTAATTTCTAATCATATTCAATTTTAAAGATTATTCATTAAATATTAACACTATATTTAAAATGCATACATGTTTCTAACGACTTGTGTTGACTAATTTGTGCCGTCTTTTTTGTTCTAGGAACCAATTTGTGCAAAAATCTCATCCATACTCCTTCTGTGTGGCCGAACAAAATTGTCTGTGTATTATCTAACACACCCTGACAGTGGCAGAATTGAGACTATTTAGTTTCACAAGCCATTAATTATAAAAAAAAGTAATGGAACAAAAATTGTTTATATTAGTAACATAGTCCTGCAAGGTTGTTAGTATTTTACAAACAATCCTGTATAAAACCGTACAGCTATACCTAGTTCATGTTACGACTTCAATTGGTGCAAATGTCGCAACGTGAATGGCACACCTTTGTGACATATGTCAGTTCCTTAGACACGTATTGTGACTGTAGGAAAATGCTCTGTCATGACTCGACGCTTGAAAGGCAAAATAGAATAAGCGACACTTTTGGGACATCAGAAACATTAGTAGATTCCAACGGCATATATAACAATATGACCAAAAGTGTCGCGTATCCCATTTTGCCTTTCAGGCATCGACTGTACTATTTCACAAAGCTTCTGGAGATGTAGAATAATGTCTTACTCAGAATCTGACTCCGTTTCTCCAGAATCTGAATCTTCCGAACTAGACACAGGCTCACATTTGATAAATTCAATCTCCTTTCGTTCTTTCTTAGGTCTTCCTCGCTTCTTCAACGGTTTCCGATCGTCTATAACAGTTTTCACCATTTGTGATATTCGTTTCATGTTTTGTTGTTCATGCCGTTGTAAATGATTGTTTAAATATCTCCGTAGTTTAAATTTTTTCCCGCACTGTTCACATTCGTGTTCATATTTAGTCTCGTCTACATCCATATGAACGGCATTGTTGTGACGTCTCAAGTAATGCGCATGAGCAAACTCCTTATCACACTTCTCACAGCGTATTTTAGGTTTAGACGGATGTACAATTTTCTTATGTTTTTTAAGACGTATTGCTGAATGGAAATATTTATCGCATAAATCACATTTAATTTTTGTTTCAGGGGACGAATGAATTTGCATATGTTCTTTTAAATACTGATCATTCTTGAATTCTTTAAAGCATTCTGGACACTGTGCTTTAGATTCTAATGGTGGATGTATATTTAAAACATGTCGTTTCATATGATGTTTTGATTTAAATGTCATTGGACAGAATACACACGTGTGTCGTTCAACTTGTGAATGTTGGAAGTGTAAATGACGATTTAGATTTAAATGGTTTTTATATAATTTGTGACATACAGGACATTCCTGTTTTTGTTTATCCGTACGGTGACACGCATCAATATGGTATTTAAGTTTATATGGAACATTGAATTCCTTTTTACATTCTGGGCATTTTAGCTCTGGTAATGCAGAAGGGTGTAGTTTTTTTACATGCATATGCAAAGCTCTTCTCGTACGGAACTCTTGTAGACAAAATTGACAGTAACACTTTTCTGACTCAGAATAATGCTTGTTCATCCTATGCATATATAAATAATGTTTATTTTTGAACGTTTTATCACATAAATTGCACGCTACAGCTGAATCCTCTGTACTATGGACTCTAGTTGTGTGTAAGTATAAATTCTGATAGTTTTTAAATTCTTTACAACATTTTTGACATATGTACCGTTTTGGTGTTTTGAAACTCGGTAAATTCTGTGGTGTCCATGTAGCCAGAACAGATTCATACATCTTTCTTTGTTCTGTGGTTAACACATCACTTGTAACACTTATGAACTTTATTGGTTTATCTGATGTTGACGTATTTGGTTGCTCGGTTTCCTTTTCTTTTTTTGGTCTTTCCTCTTTAGGAATTTCCAACACTTTATGGGGTTCTTCATTGGGTGAGTGGCTCTCATTCTTCGGTTGACTATAGTACTCGGTTTTAGGCTGCCCAAGATGTAAAGGTTCAATTTGTTCTGGCTGAGAGCAGTGATGAGGCAGCAATGGTAGGGGGTGTGAATAGTGCATTGGGTCCAACTGTTGAGCATAGTAAGGCTCCATTTTCGGTGCCCGGAGTGCTTCTTGGTGGGACATCATTTTGGTGCTGAAAAACCAAAAGATCAACAACTTTAATATGGGCACAAAACCACTTGAGTAGTGGAAATCAGTATGTACTAGTATAACCCTTGATGGAATTTGTAATATCTTCAGTGAACAAGAAAACACACTAATAGAAGATTGGGTGCAGTCCTTAAGCACTCTACATAAAGAGATATTGAAATAATAGCTTCCATTGGAATAGTCTATTCCATCAAAGGGGAAAGTTAAGTAAATATTATGAATATTATTTAGCTGACTACAAATTTTACATTACATTTTAATGTTATACTGCTGCGGCACACGTGACAAAAACTCAAAACTGAGAAAATAATGTTTGAAGAAATGAAATTAAGAAATATCTACTTTTCTCTAGCGGTAACTTCATACCTTATTCAGGAAAAATAAGAATAGTGACAGATTGGCCTTTTTTTACTGGAAAACTCAAACTTTTTTGTATATGTGTTACGTGATTTGAACTTGTGAGCTGTGATTCTTTTTTTGTCGGAAAGAGTATACCTCGGTAGTGGTCCCATGGTAAATTTGGAGAAAAGATTCCACCTTCAAGTGTGGCAAACTAGGGATGAATCCGGTTTCGCGCACTTTCCGGTAACCGATTCCAGTAAACTTGGCATATAGATATAATTCCATAAACTTTTGAGGTCAGTTTTTTAGTACAATAATACACTACTTAGCGCGATCCCGCTTTGCGCGATTTCGTTGTAACACGATTTTCAAAAGTCGCGTTAAATTACCCCACTTTACGCAGATACATTGATAGGTTGATTAATCGGATTTGATTGGATTATTTGCGCGCATGGTGGCGTCATTGAATTAGCCAATAAATACCCGTAGCTTCTCAGTTATTAAAACTTACACTCATCTATGATTAAAAGTGCATAGTCAGTTGACTCGAAAATTCAAATAAATAATAGTTCTTTCTTGGTAGCTCCCTTAATTTGTGATCACATTGGTACTTTTTATGAACAATGACGCCAACGGTTATGAAAAAAGAGCGTAAGAGCTTGAGTTAGTATTTGAACCAAGATAAAAGTTTTAAAAAAGATGGATAAAAGAGGCAAAGATACAGAAGTTGAATGACAGTTTGACCTCTCACAGTCACAGACACAAACAAAAAACTTTAGACTACCATCTAAAAAAAAAGTGAAATACTTAACTAAGGTATCATTTCTTTGTGACAGAGTTTTCTAATGATTTTTAATAAACATGAATTAAGCACATTTCGTTATAATATTTAGCTTGTTATTTGATCACACCCTGTTCTATCCCTGGTAGCAGTCATTTGGTCCATAGTTAGTCAGTTAGAGACCCTAGTGCTACCAAAAATCTATAACACCAGTCAGGCCACACAAAAAAAAGAACAACCCCTTTTTACGCGAATTTAGCTTAACATGATTTTGTCCGGAACACAACCCTCGCGAAAGTGGGGTATCACTCTACTCTGTACTGAGGTTATTTGTAAAAATGTCACAAGCGCCCTTTCAATTACCGGCAGCAGACATTATATATTATATTGCTTAACTCAGCGTGCCTCTTCATGTAGGCCTCTTCCAGATCCTTCCAGGAACTACTCTTCTCCAATAGGGAAATTTACCAAACTGCCTCCCATTGCGCATTTGGTGCAAAGTGGGAAAAATTATAATGTGTCCTCAGACAACCACACCGGTTGCCTGGTCCCAAACAGGGAATGCTCTGTACTATGCGTACCAGAGCAATGGAATTCGCTCCGGGGCTACTATCCACAACATTTAGAGATAAAACTAACTTAGAAAAGTTTAGTTTACACATTGATCCCACTGGGAATCGAACCCGGCATCTCCTCATCCAGCACACGCCCAGTACTAACCGATTAGCTAACAAGATCGTCAAAGTTAATATAAAATGAAAATTCAAACTAAATATTAATATGAAACTTTGATAGGAAACATTCATTAGGCTACAACAAATGTTCAATATCAAAATACGTAAATTATACAATTAAATGACAAAATCACAAATATTTCAGTCAAATATCCCCTAAGAATTTCACTGTTAGTCCTATATGAAAAATAGAAACAATATTTGAATAATATTACACAAAAAAAAAATCTAATTTATTTTGCTTACGATTTAATAAAAATAGATGTCCTGATAGTAAATTTGCTGTTCCACGTCACTGCTACATCGAAAAAGCGATGACTTTAAAATAAAATCAACAGTTATTGATAAAAATTCACAACCCTCGAGGGCACGACACTGTTAAAGCCAAAACATCGCATTTTTACTCCACAAATGCGTATTGAATATACAAAAATATATGTATTGACTAATCTAAACGCGTTCTTAATGATAATTTCTAAGAAATATTCTATAATTTAGAAGAGATACGCGAAATACTACAATAAAACGCTTTTGTGATAAAGATCATCTGACATTTTACTTTTTTGATAGTAACTTGAATTCCAGTAGTAGTTTTTACGTGTCAAATCAAAACATCTCTTGTCTTGCTCTTTCTTATTGTAAATATCTTTTGCTATTTCGGTTTAACTTAATCATATTGCTACTGTAACACTTTGTATTCAAAATGTAAAAAAACTGCTTTGTTTTTGAGAAAACAATTTACTAAAATTTAAATTATAATTATTTACTATTACCAATTACTTAGTTAAGTTGATAGGTGAAAACAGTTTATGTATGCGCCTTTAAAATGTAGTTGAGCACTTTCATTTCCATGTTTTTACTTGCGACAAACGTGAACTCTTGCCAAAAATATATTGAACCGCGTGTGGTTGCCGCCAAAAATAGATAAGACGACAAACTTTTCTTTTGTAAGCGGCAAAATCATGAACTAATTAACTTTTTAATAATTTATATTTTTGTAATAATTTAAAACGCTACTTCATGAGGAAGATATTGTTTTTTACAATTTATATAATTAACAAGTGATTTTTTTAATTTTTTTGTAAATATCAATGAAAAGTTTTGAAAAGAAAGAATATTGGAGTGTCTACTAAACTGCAAATATAACTTTGTCGTTCCACATTTCCCGTCAGTTGCGATTCTCAATCGTACAAAGGAAAGTGTTTTATAGTTTCATAAAATGCGTGAAATAGTGCATCTTCAAGCAGGACAATGCGGAAATCAAATCGGTTCAAAGGTACAATGTGAAAATATGTAAATTTTCTTTTCCGAAATGGCGTTTCTTCAAAATACCATTCAGTGTTGATTCTATTTATACATGTTACAGTCTGAATTTATTTGAACAAATCGTTTGAGATCATTTTATATAATTACTTTGTGTTAAAAAATGATTCCACGGTCATTCATGATGATTTTAAATAGTGATAAAATTGATCCACAATATGTTGTGTTAAATTTCTCTCCGGAAGTTAGATAATGCGGAAGTTACATTCAGTTACTTACCTACATGTTATGAGAGTTGCATTATTGTTTTTAATTTTTAAATCAATATGGCAAGAATGGTGTGGTTTATTCTTCGGTACTGTCTTTACTAAGTAATGAGTCATTTTAGTTGCGCTCTTCATTCTGAAAGTGCAAGTACAGACGGCAGCACATCAAGTTACACATTGACGGATCTTGCTTCGTCGCATTGGAGGTGATATATTCGAATAAAAGTGAATAGCTTAATGTGCTGTTGATTGTACATACATGTAAAAAAAGTGACAGTTTTTGATGTAATCATGTCCATGAATCATGTATGTTGTGCTATAGCCGGTGCCCGCGACTTTTCTTTTAAACCGACTTCAAAAAAGGAGGATTTCAATTGGACAGTTTTTTGTGTGTATGTTATGCTGTTAGTCCGATATTTATGAACCGATTACGACGATTGTTTTGTTTGAAAGTGGGTACCTCAATAGAGGTCTCTATCAAATTTGAAGAAAATGTTTCACCTCAGAGGGTGACAAATGGGGGGATGGATCCGGTTTATTGAATTTCACCTAATTTCGTGCGGCAAGGCATCTCCCTGCCACGGTTCGGGTAACCATTATTTCGACGATCAGCAACCGTACTAAATGTATTTTTTAAATAGGTAGCGACATGGATCGTGTATAGAGTGTTGCACTGCTGTTGTTGTTAAGAAAGTATAGGAAAAAACCACAAAGAAGATTAGCATCGCAGAAATGCGCAATGCGGAGCAATTAGCAAATTCTTGCGATGCGTCGTGCGAGCTTGTAGATTTCTGCGATGCGACGTCGCATCGCACTTGTGTTTCGACCCTCTATCGTGATTGTGTCCTGGACGTTTATTTTATCGTTGAACGACTGTCGTGTCTAGCTCTTCCCACTAGATCGCGACGACAATTTATCGTTTGCACGACAGATTCGTTTGAAGCTGCAATTATCTGTCGTCATATTTTTATCGTGACGTTTTAATTTCTCGTTGGACGACTGTCGTTCTAGCTCTTCACATTGTCACGACAGTCTGTCGTCGTAACGTCAAAAAAGTCGTGAACGACAGTTAATCGTGTTGTTCTGTGTTAACTTTAGTTTTTTTAAATAGGAAGTCCTGCCACCTTACCTATTTCTGCCGCCGAGCAGAAATGTCAGCATTACTGTGTTCCGGTTTTGAAGGGTAAGGGTGCTGGTGAAATTACAGGCACATGGGACTTGTCAACATATGTCTCAGGGTGACGGACGCTGTGGCAGTGCCTCTCAAATCTTTGCGATTTAAAGCTCTGAGTGGCACTGCAACTATTATGGCCAGGCGTGAAAAAGAACTTCATTTAAATATACAAGCCACGACGCTTAAAACTGCATCTGTCGTCACGACATAATAGGAACGCGCCCTAAACGATACATGTACTCGTAATAATTAATTTATTTCAACAGTAACAACGACTGAACTAAATGTAAGCCATAAACAATGTAGGGTTGAGTCAATCACATCCCAAAAGCAAGCGGCTGAATGTCAATCACATAGCTTTTGGCGGTAATCGTCTCTAGGTGGTAAACAGTCGATGTCAGAAATTTGGATTCAGAGATACTGAACACGTCAGTATCATGAACAGTACCATTTGAAGATTCTCTCAAGGCTAGGGCGTCGTAGAATGGTGCCGCCTTAGTGCAGATTAGATGTAGAACTGGCGTAGAACATATCGTGGTATTCGTGAGATAAAAAAAGGGATCTTTGAATCCCAAAGATCTGGTGGGCACAGCCACTGCGTCAGTCAACCTAAGACGTAAAGTTCATAATGATGTTACATGGTTTGCCCATTATATATGTATTATCTACTTAGGTACATCGGGGGTTGGTAACACAAAAAAGTCCTTAAAAGTTCGTGGAATTACATCTATTTGCCACGTTTTATTGAAATCGGTTAACGGAAAGTGCGCAAAACCGTATTCATCCCCGGGTTTACCACCTTCAGAGGTAGAATAGTTTCTTCAAATTTAAATGGGATCAATACTGAGGTATATTAGAAAGATCCGACAAAAAAAGCATCATCAAAATCGGTTCACAAAGGCCGGAGTAGTCGCGAACATACACATAAATAAAAGTCCAATTGAGAACCTCCTCCTTTTTTGAACAATGTATGTAATTTACCTGGTATGTAAATGGTATAAAATAAAATATATAAGTTGTTGTTATTTGATGAGAGTTTACTGGATACTAAATGAGGATTGACTGACTCTGGTTGACTGATGAGGTTTACATTTTGTATGAGCTACTTATACTAATTTGGTACGTGTGTTCTATGCTGATGCACAAGGCATGATTGTAACTTTGCTTGTACCAAGACGTGCCTGAATGTCGGAAGAGGGTTAGACATTCTGGCACGTCTGTGACTGGTACATGTAACATTAACAAATCACAATACATTACAATATTCATTTATGTTTATTTGTTAACAACAATATAACATGTGTAGTTATTTTTCTTTTGGTTTTATCAGTTCTGGGAGATAATATCGGACGAGCACGGCATCGACGCGACGGGCCACTACCGCGGCGACAGCGAGCAGCAGCTTGAGCGGATACAGGTTTACTACAACGAATGCGATGATGGTATGAAACAATAAGAACATTATAGGTTTCTTATCACGCTATGACTTCGTATCACTTTCCCGATATTTTAAAGCTGCCCCTAGCTAAGTTCAAACTGCGACCATGATCAGCATGTAACTGCGAAAATAATAAGAAGTCATAATTAATCTGTAACTAGCGTTGAATAACCGTTTTTAACCGACTTCAAAAAAGGAGGAGGTTCTCAATTGAAGTGTATGTTTTTTTGTATGTATGTTACGCGATAACTCCGGTATTTGTGAACCGATTTCCATGATTCTGTTTTTTGTTGGAAAGGGGTTACTTCCATAGTGGTCCCATTCAGTGGTCATTTTGAAGAAAATCATCCACCTCTAAGGGTGGCTGATCACGCATGAACATTCATTTTTTTTAAATAGCGCCTAAATGTTACATAAAGAGCAATTGATTTAACGGTTGGTTTTGCTATTCTCCAATTCAAGGCGTTTTTCTCTCAATATACTTTGAGTAGTGAGAACCGATTTTTACTATCTACTGTGTCAAGTCCTGTATAGTGGCGAACTAGGGGATATTTCAATAAAACTTGGCATATAGATGTAATTTCACGTACTTTTGAGGTCGGTTTTTTTAGTACTCTGTACTGATATTATAAAATCTATAAAAATAACTTATCTATTATTTTTATTGAATTGATATTCAATTATTTTTATGTGAAATCACTCCACTAGTTTGTTATAATTCGAACACTCAGATCTCTAGCCGGGGCTGGTAGCTGTAAAGGTATCTAACTGGGTGACGAAATACTTTCATAGATTTCTCATAGATGGCGCTACGGCTAAAAAGTCGTTGAAAAACCATATACAGACACGCGACAACAAGCACATAGAAGAATTGGTGAGGTCCGCTGGTTCGTTCCGTGGCTTAGATAGTATAGCGTCTGGCACGGTATGAAAGACGACGTCGGTTTGAATTCGGCCGGATCAATAACTTATCTAAATTTTACAACAAGCTCATTAACAAAACTACAAGTATCGTCTATGATTGTACATCATGAAATTTATTTTTTTGTCGGAATATCGATCAAACCATGCCCCAGCCCAACTGGGCTGACGTCGTTGATTATAGCTATCCTTGGCACAGTTGTTTCCTTGATTAATTTTTAGCCCGCCACGCAAAAAGAGGGGAGTTATAACTTATAAGTTTTTAGGAGCTGCGGGTCAGTTTAGATGCTCTTCGGTGGTGGTTTAGACAAGTGTTCACAGTGTATTGACGTCGGCATAATACATACAAGTCTTCCATTTATAAGCATTCGGCTCCGCACGACTGCACTCGGCAGGCAACGTTATTTTCACCTCTCTGAACGCTTGCATGGTTCCTTTTTCCCTCTTAGTGAGCGCTTGGTGTCATTAGTCAGATTTAGTAGGCTATTATAGCATAGGTACTTTCGATTTTGTATGAGAGTGATATATCTGTTACGTAGTAACCATCAAGTAATCTGTGGTTTAGATGTTGAGTAGCTGCTGGTAATTTTCAGTGAAACGCTGATGTTGGAGTTGGAACCAGAATCAGAATGCCGCGCAGAACAAAATGACCGTTGCGGCGAGCAGACGTAACATTGTAGCGGCGTAAAGTTTGAATCCTTTATCTGTATGTCTGGGCGTCTATCTATCAGTCTATGACATGCTTCTAAAGTAATGGACTGATTTCAGTGTTTTATTTTTCTCGGTGGGGGAATTTATAGTATAGGGTAGCCCAACAGACGAGAGGTGCAAACTTTGGCAAGCCATATTCACTGCTCCTCTTGATTGTATTAACCCAGCCGAAAGTCCTCACCCCGGATAGGTTCTGCAGTGGTCATTATGGAATATCCTGAATCGTCTCAGGTTACAAGTTGGTCTATGTAGATGTAACGTGGTGAACTGGGGATACATCCCACCCCGACTCAAAATCATTGTGCTTGCGAATCCCCCACACAAACTATGTCTCACTGACTCTCATGCCCACTGTGTCCGGCTAGCTGCACCTGCGAAGACCTAAAGGCAAGGGATAGAGGGCATAGAGGTGGCTGCTTGGTGGGGTAATACAATATAACATTGGTTTGTGGTGGTTGTCATTGACTCGACAAGTTTTTTTTTATTTGAAGGCTAATTTAATCGGAATGGTTCTTAACTTTGCTTGCTAATAATTGTTTGATGGACATCAACAGCTGTTTAAAGTTAATCAGCTCTTTTCTCAGTTAGCATCCGGATCATCATAAAATAAACATTTATTTTACTTTCATTTTTCCGATCGTCTTGAAAATTATATACTACAACTGTGATCTGATTCTACAACTAGGATAGTTTGTAGACTACCCAACTCCTCAATCCTTTTTAATTTAGGTGTTATACTAACCTGTGTTTTTAAATCTGGACTCTGATCAACGCTGACCTAGACCAATGCGTCTAAGCCGACTAACGTATTTTGGATATTGAAATAATTTGGAATATGGCATATAAAATTTTATCAAAGCATTCTTAGTTTTTACAACATACATTTATTTTTGGTGCAGGTAAACGCTTCGTACCTCGAGCGGTCCTGGTGGACCTGGAGCCAGGCACTATGGACGCCATCCGCTCCTCTCCGAATGGCCAGCTCTTCAGACCTGACAACTACGTCTTTGGACAGAGTGGCGCCGGTTTGTAATACCTTCTACACTGCCAAACCGAATCCATGGACTTAAATTCTTCTCTTTGGCAGCTACAAAGTTTTTTACTCGTTCTTCTTGAATGTAACGAAAAGGATTTTGGAAAACAATACCATTTACAGTGTAATTTGCTTCATTATCATAAAGAAATTTCGAATTTATTTGGTTGTCAGGTAATAACTGGGCTAAGGGACACTATACCGAGGGCGCCGAGCTGGTGGACTCCGTGATGGACGTCGTGAGGAAAGAAGCAGAGCCCTGTGATTGTCTGCAAGGTACATCATCTACTAAATTTGGGGGATACCATTGTCTTCTTATGTATTGGATTGATTGCACTTTCGAATCTTTCTTTTCTAAAGCAGCTTTTGTCCAGCAATAAATTACTGTAAGTGAATGTGATGGTCTGATGAACTTCAGTAGGACCAGCAACAGTAGATCCAAAAGCTCAATTCTTCTGTGGGGTACGCAACGGAATATAATATACTCTCAAATTAATGACAAAATGAAGAGGCAACATTATCGTGGTTCAAGGAGTGATGACAATAGAAGATGTGTTCCGTTCCAGGTTTCCAGCTGACCCACTCGCTGGGCGGCGGCACGGGCTCCGGCCTGGGCACACTTTTGTTGAGCAAGCTGCGTGAGGAGTACCCTGACCGCATCGTTAACACCTTCAGCGTTATGCCTTCGCCTAAGGTAGGCGACGGAAAACCTTCTGGATTGGATCCCATCGACTGAAAATTATGTGAAAAGTTGCCAAATGAAAAAATTAAGTTACAATTTTAGGACTTCTAGGAAAAGTTTCTGGTAGTTTCTATACCAAAACAGGATGATGATTCTCCAGTCACTAAGTATCATTTTCAATGGACAAAGCGGACTGACAATGGATATTATCTTACATTTTCCTCTATAACCAGGTATCTGACACAGTAGTGGAGCCCTACAACGCGACTCTCTCCGTGCACCAGCTCGTAGAGAACACCGACGAAACTTTCTGCATCGACAACGAAGCTCTCTACGACATCTGCTTCAGGACTTTGAGGCTTTCTTCACCCACTTATGGCGATTTGAATCACTTGGTTTCTGTAAGTCTTCACATTGTAGTTAAAATTCTATACCAGGGTCAGGGGGCATAATAAATTAGGTTGTTGATGCTTATCATCTTACATTCAACGGACGGGATTTGTCCTGGTATTACCCTTTAAGGCTATAGAGACAGTCCCAGTATCTCAGATAATGCTGAAGCACCATCCTCAGGCATCTATCTTCTTTATTAGTAAATCGACGACTAATCTACGTTATTTCATGTTGCTTTCTTGCCAGGCGGTCAAAGAATTTCAGGGATCACTGTGGAAAGTAAACCGAACTTAACCTACTTTTCGTGTAAAACCTGGGGTACTGATGATGTCAATAAGTTATACTATGTCATAATTTGGTTGGATTGCGATCATACTGAATATTCGTAATTAATAATTTCTAGTTAACAATGTCTGGAGTAACGACGTGTCTGCGATTTCCGGGTCAGTTGAACGCCGATTTGAGGAAACTCGCCGTGAACATGGTACCCTTCCCGAGACTGCATTTCTTCATGCCTGGTATATCAATTTTTATATCAAATTTTAACACTCTTTGGCGCTAGGTTTAGAAAGATGTGGTTATATTAACTGATCTGTATCAATAATTGATCTACATACGACGATGACGAAAACATCCGATCATAATTCATTGAATAACAAACAACTACATTTAAAAAGTCCTGAAATTCTTAAAAATATACATTCAATCAGGTGTAGAGTATTTTTAACCGACTTCTAAAAAACAAGGAGAAGGTTCTCAATTCCACTGTATGTTTTTTTTGTATGCTACGCGATAACTCGATTTGTAAAACCGATTTTGATGATTCTTTTTTATTCGAAAGAGGGCACCTCAGTGTTTGAAATTTGAAGAACATTTTTTTAAATAATAACACACTCAACATAGCCCCGCACTAGGGAAACCCTGTGTCGCGGGTGTCATGGACACACATAGACAACCACAAATTACACCCAAACTCACGAGAGAAATAAATGTAGACCATACAAATATTTCTTCCGGCCCGGGAATCGAACTTGGGACCTGGTAACCGTTCGGCCAAGGAGGCAGTGTATTATATAAATACTCCACCTCTAAGCGTGGCAAATGAATCGGTTTCGCGCACTTTCCTGTAACCAATTTCAATAAAACTTGACAAATATATGCGATTCCACGAATTTTTGAGGTCGGTTTTTGTAGTACTCTGTACTGAGGTTATGTTGTTTATGTATGACATCAAGAAGCGGGACGAATACGTCGTATATACCCATATTAGTTGCAGTGCCACTCAGAGCTTGAAATAGCAAGGATCCTAGAGGCATGCCATTGCACCCGTCAATCGCAACATATAGTTAACAAGTCCCATGTGCCTATAGTTTCACCAGAACATTCAATTTCTTCATGATGTGCCATCTTCTAATGACGGTCGGCGATCATAATGGCAATCTCAACCTTGGACTTATTGAACCATTGGCGCAAATTTCTGAGTCAGGATATTCTCCTTCTTCCTACACTTTTCTTTCCTTGTATTTTGCCTTGGGTTATTACGTAAATTGTGCTTTGGGTTTCTGATATGTATGCATACATAAATGTATATGTCTCGCGTGCGCCGCGCGGCGACGCCGCGGGCGCCGGCAGTAATAAACGGACCGTGTTACCTAACTGGCGTTTCATTGCTAACCTACGCTTAACTACAAACACCTCACTGGCGACGAGAGAACTACCCGCGCGCGCGTGAATTTTTTTTGTGTTTAAATAATATTTTATTTAGTTAATTAAAATGTCCAATTATCTCGGCAGTATTAATGTGTTTAATCACAATGAACAAGAGTGGTCAGTGTTTTATGGGAGGTTAAAGCAATTTTTAAAACTTAACGACGTCAAAGAGGACAAAAAGGGTCCGTTACTACTCACTCATTTATCGGACGACACCTATCGGCTTCTACAAAATTTAATTCACCCAAAGAAATTGGAAGAGGCGAGCTATGCTGATATATTAGACGTACTGAACAAGCATTTCACGCCGAAGCGATGTACGTTCGCTGACAGAGAAAGGTTTTGCGAGGCGAAAAGAGCTACGGGAGAAAGTGTCGAGGAATGGGCTGCGCGCATTCGGGGACTCGCGGTGCACTGCGACTTTGGCAGTTCACTGGAGATGTTACTGACGAATCGTTTCGTGCTCGGAATGAGCGTTGGTCCCGAGCGTGACCGCTTATTCGAACAGGACGCTGCAACGCTCACTTTCGCGAAGGCGCTGGAGATCGCGCAGCAGACCTCGTGTATGCGCGAAGCCAGAGCTGCAGCCGCGGGGGCGCCCTTACACATGAAGGAAGAGCCCGTTTATCACGTGACGGGAAGTAGCGGTCGCCGCGCAGGCGCTGCTGGGCCGCGCGCAGGCGGTGCTGCCGGCCCGCGTTCAGGCAGCGCGAGCGGCGCGAGTGCAGGCGCGAGCGATCAATATTCCAGGTGTTCTGTGTGCGGGTTAAAAAATCATGTGTCGCAAAAGTGTCGGTATAAAGGTTACGCGTGTCAAAAGTGCGGTGAAAAGGGGCACTTAAAAAAAGTGTGTGTTAAGAAACTGAATACCCGCGTCAATAATATTGAAAATGAGGGTGACGGTGTCGAGAGTTGTTGTGAGGAGTGCCAAAACTTTCAAATAAGGTATGTGACTAATAAACCGATTCAATTACAATTATTACTGGGGAAGAAATTAGTAACAATGGAATTGGACACGGGATCGGGTTCTTCTGTGATATCTGATAACATGTATAATAAATTATTTTCAACGTACCCATTACAACAATGTTATTTGAAAATGTGTTTGTATAACGGACATAAAATATCGCCCTTGGGCTACTTTGAAATTTTAGCAGAATATGAACAAAAAAAACGTACACTTAAAATATATGTAGTTAAAAATGGAGGTCCACCCCTTTTGGGGCGAGATTTTATGTCTGCATTTAAATTGTTTTTAGTTACAAATACAAACAGTTTGACACAAGTGAATGCTGTTCAAACATTGTTAGATAAATATCCAGATTTATGGCGTGACGAACTAGGTACATTTAATAAATTTAAGATTCAGTTGCAATTAAAGGAGAATAGTGTACCAAAGTTTTTCAAGCCACGTTCCGTACCATTTGCTTTTAAGGACAGGGTAGAAAAAGAATTAGAAAGATTGGTCAATCTCGGAATACTAGTACCCGTCAATCACTCACAATATGCCACGCCTATAGTGCCCGTTTTGAAAGAAAACGGGAACCTACGAATAGCCGGAGATTTTTCTGTTACCCTAAATAAAGACTTGATAATAGACAAATATCCACTACCACGGATTGAAGAAGTGTTTGCTAAAATAGGAGGGGGCGAAAAGTACAGCAAAATTGATTTGAAAAATGCCTACAACCAATTTGTTCTTAGTGATCAGTCTCAAGGTATTACGACCATCAACACTCATAAGGGCTATATAAGTACACTAGGTTAGTGTACGGCCTAGCCAACGCGCCCGCGATTTTTCAAAAATCGATGGAATCCTTGCTTGCTGGCATCGATGGAGTGAGTTGTTGGCTTGATGACATATGTGTCACAGGTCCCGACATGGAAACACATTTAAAACGGCTAAATAACGTTTTAAATCGCTTAAACGAGGCAGGCCTTCGTTTACAGAAAGAGAAATGTGATTTTTTTAAAAGCGAAGTGACGTATTTAGGCTATGTAATAGATAAAAACGGTTTACGAACGTGCTCAAATAAAGTAAAGGCAATATTAAATGCTCCAGAACCCAATAATGTGACAGAGGTAAAAAGATTTTTGGGTATAGTCAATTATTATAGGAATTTCATTCCCAACGCGTCTTCGCTGATGAGTCCGCTACACGAATTGCTGCGTGCTAAAGCCGAGTGGGTGTGGGGGGCACGGCAGCGGGACGCCATGCGGGCGGTGAAGCGGGAGCTCGTGTCGGAGCGAGTGTTGGCGCATTTTGAACCGACGGCGCAGTTAGTGTTGTCGGTCGACGCGGGTCCTGATGGGCTCGGCGCGGTCTTAGCTCAGCGCGATGCTGCTGGCACTGAGCGCCCGCTGGCATTTGCTTCAAGATCACTGGCACCTAGTGAAAAAAATTACAGCCAAATCCAAAAGGAAGCGACTGCTATCATTTTCGGAGTAAAGAAATTTCACCAATACCTATACGGTAGAAGTGAGCCCTTTATTTTAAAAACAGACCACAGACCATTGGTGTCGATATTTAATAATAAAACTGGGATATCGGTGACGTCAGCGCTTCGGCTACAAAGATATGCAATTATGTTGTCTGCATACAACTACGTAGTTCAATACTTGCCAGGTGATAAAAACTTAGTAGCCGACTATTTTTCACGCGCCCCATTAAATAACACCCAGTGTAGTAGTGACAAAGAATATGATACGTACACTTCACTTAAATTTTTGTGTGGACTATCACCAGCACTAACGTACAAAACCATTCAGAGTGCGACTGGGAGTGATAACAGTTTACAGACGGTCATTAAGTACATGAACAAAGGTTGGCCAAGGAAAATAAAATGTAAATCAATTTTACCCTATTTTCAATGCAAGGCTGACTTACAATATGAGAACAATTGTCTGCTAAGAGGGCCAAAGGTTATTATTCCCGAATCATTGCGAGGTGGTATGTTGGCCGAGTTACATAAATCACATCTAGGTATCGTCAAAATGAAATCTAATGCCCGCAGTCGCATGTGGTGGCCGGGCATCGACAGCGACATCGAGCGACACGTGAGCGCGTGCAGCATATGCGTCAGCGTGCGGGCCGCACCAGCGCGCGCGCCGCCGCAGCCTTGGCCGCGCCCGCTCGCAGCCTGGCAGCGCGTGCATATAGACTACATGACTATAGGGCAGAGGGTGTATTTAGTGATCGTTGACGCCTATAGTAAATGGGTTGAATGTCTACACATGGCTAATGGTACGACAACGCAGGCTTTAATATCAAAACTAAAACAGGTATTTTCAACTTTTGGTATTCCGAACGTCCTAGTATCAGACAATGACATTAAAATCAACTCCGCTGAATTCAATAAATTTTGTTCTTACAATGGTATAAATTATAAAACATCACCAATTTATCACCCTTGTAGTAACGGGCAGGCGGAGAATTCTGTGCGAACATGCAAAAAAAAATTATGAAATGCATTCTAAAAGATAATGTCACGCATCGTGTGATTTACGATGAATTATTAGGATATTTATCTATCTATAGAAATACTGTGCACTGTTCCACAGGACAAACACCGGCTCGCTTAATGTTTGGTCGGGAATTGAGAACCCGTTTAGATTTAATATTACCTAAAGAGAGAAACCTAACATTTTCCTTAAAGGAACTAAATGTAGGTAAAATCAGGCAGTTCAACATAGCCGATCATGTTTGGGTCAGATGGTACAGTGCACGTAAAGAGCACTGGATTAGGGGTAAGGTGTTACAAAAAGTAGGTAACAGAATGTTTAAAATTTTTGTTTATGATCATAACGTACATTGTATTCGCCATATCGATCAAATGCTAAAATGTAATTCAGCCGTGGACCAAAATGACACCTTGTCAGTGCTCGATGACCCTTCAAAAGAGTCACAGGATCATCCATCACCTTCAACAGTCTCGACACCTAGTCTCAGTGAGCCCTTATCGGACGAAGGGTCGGTAGAAGCGAGAACAAATGATGATGATAAGGAGGAGTGGATGGACTGTGGGGAAATGGTTGATGCTGAGTCTTCTGATGATTTGCTCGCACCAGCCCCGCCGTCCGAGGCAACCCACAGTAACTTGGGTGGGGGCAGTAGTCAAGAGGCGCAGCCCTTGACTCGTCAGTTGCGGCCTAGAACTAAGGTAGATTTTAAGAAGTATTTTTAAGTTAAGCAATCATATTCTTTCTATTGTTACCAGATTCTGTAAATAAAAGTGGAGGAATGATATGTATGCATACATAAATGTATATGTCTCGCGTGCGCCGCGCGGCGACGCCGCGGGCGCCGCGCGCCGGCAGTAATAAACGGACCGTGTTACCTAACTGGCGTTTCATTGCTAACCTACGCTTAACTACAAACACCTCAGTTTCTCAGTATATGACCCAGATACTCCAGTTTTTTTCTTTTCATGGTATTTAACACCTCTCGCTTTCTACCAACACTTTGCAGCACCCTTTCGTTGACTTAGTTTCGACGATACTCTCATCATTCTCGTATACAACCACATTTCGAAGGCTTCCACTTTTTTGCACATAGATTCTGTGAGTGTCCAAGCTTCTGCTCCGTACAAGAAAATGGAGAAGATGAAGCAATGAGCCAGGGAGCGCGGAGTCCGATAAACCCACACCCACCAGAACCCATACCTTTTAAAACCGGAACGCAGTAACGCTCACATTAGTACTTGGTGACAGAAATATTTATGGTGGGAGTATTTTCCTGGGCGAAATCTTTCACAAGGGGCTCTACTGCTACTGATATACGAGGAAATACAACTTTTTGTTGAATTGAAAATAATTGTCTGCTGACGTCACCAGCTAGAATGTGGTCGGACATTTCTGTTACATTCGCATTAAAAATAAACAGAACCACGAAACTGAATATTCATAATGGTTGCCTTGTAGAAATGTAATTAAGATACTTCATTAGCAAATTCTTTTGATTGTAGGTTTTGCTCCACTTACTGCCAGAAACAGCCAAGGTTACAGAGCATTAACTGTGCCAGAGTTAACGCAACAGGTTCGTACTAAAATTACAGTTACTTCGACGGCAATTTTACACGAGAGCAAGAGGGGAAATAAGTTTGAAGCCTTTGAGTGTGCACCTCTGTCGTCATCGTCTGCGGCGACGTAGCTTGCAAATGGATGAACTGATCTCAAAGCGCTTTTCTGTTTCAAGGTTAATTTAATCGGAATGATTCTCAGCTATTTTTGATGAACATCTGTTCAGCTGTTCAAAGATCACAAAATCACTCAAGTCACAAAGTGAATACTTATTTTACTTCCACTTGTCCGATAGACTTGGAATTTGGTATAGGTACTAAGGATATTCGTTGAGACTACAATGATATATGGTAGTCTTGAGCTGCTGCTGCTGTCCTATGACAGCCTGCAGAAACCGCCAGTAGTAGTGTTTGGGCTCATTAAATTGGTCTCGACAAGTTAATTTACGAATAGTGACTTCGACTTTTTGGAGTAGTAGGTACACTGTTTTGTAATGGTTTATTTTTAACAGTTTGCAGATAAAATGCAAATATTTCCTAAGTACGTCTGGGTACAATTTAAACCATTATGAATTTCACAATTTATGGATAGACAGATATTACTTGACCTCCAATTGAGCTGAGCATCTGTGCCAGATGTCGGCTTCTGGTGACGCCAGCCTACCAACAATATCCCTACTTGGATTTCAGATGTTCAGTCCAGTGAACATGATGGCCGCCTGCGACCCTCGCCACGGACGATATCTCACCGTGGCCGCCATCTTCAGAGGACGCATGTCCATGAAGGAGGTCGACGAGCAGATGCTGTCGATCCAAGACAAGAACTCTGGGTAAGGAAAATTTGGTTTGGCTGACAATTGGCACCGGAACCTCCGATCTGTTTTTAACCTGCCTGCAAAACCATCACCATTTTCATAGCAGTAGAGCTCCTTGTGAAAGAGTTCGTCCGGAGAAGTACTGCCACCTTACCTATTTCGCAGTAATGCGAGCATTACTCGTTCCGGTTTAGAAGGGTAAGGGCGCAGTGGTAGTGTCCCTTACATCTTTGCGATTTAAAGCACTGAATGGCACTACAACTGCTATGGACAGGCGTGTCTAATAACACCAAGACTTAAAGCAAGACTTGTTCGTCCTATCGCCTGGTATCATAAAAGAAAGCATCTCAACCTATATACAGCTAGCCGTAAGCCATTTCGTAAGCCACGAATTGCGATTCAATTGATACTCCATTACGTAGCAACTTGAACGACCCATACCACATTTTCCGATTCAAGGTCAGCATTCCAGAACTTTCAAACCTCATTGTCATCGTAAAAAAATCTGAAATTTGTCTCCAGTTATTTCGTAGAATGGATTCCGAACAACGTGAAAGTGGCCGTCTGCGACGTTCCGCCGCGTGGTCTCAAGATGGCCGCCACCTTTGTGGGAAATTCCACCGCCATCCAGGAGATATTCAAGAGGATATCCGAGCAGTTCACTGTCATGTTCAGGAGAAAAGTGAGTTGCAGCAATTTGCTGTTTAATATATAATAATATAATATATGTCTTTAATAATAAAAATCCAAGTAATAACATCACACGGACATTTGGAATACGCTATAGCAGTAAGTGGTTGAACGGGTTTTATTTGGCACATGAGGCGTTCCTGCACTGGTACACCGGCGAGGGCATGGACGAGCTGGAGTTCACGGAGGCGGAGAGCAACATGAACGATCTCGTAGCGGAGTACCAGCAGTACGAGGTACTTTCCTTCTTCTCTTTTTAACCGAGGGTAATATAAAAACGTTGGCAGAATTATGGGTCAGAGGAACGGAAAAGCCAGTGGGTAGACCAATATTACGCGTTGATTGCAGACTTTTTTATATCAAGTGACGGGACGAACAAGTCGGGCGCCTGATGGTAAGCGACACGCCTGTCCTTAACAGTTGCAGTGCCACTCAGAGCTTTAAATTGCAAAGATCTAAGGGGTACTGCCACTGCGCCCGTCACCCTGAGACATAAGTTGACAAGTCCCATGTGCTTGTAATTTCACCTGCACCCTTACCCTTCAAAACTGGAACACAGTAATGCTGACATTACTGTTTGGCGGCAGAGATAGGTAAGGTGGCAGGACTTCCCTGGACGCACTCTTCACAAGGAGCTCTACTGCTACTAAAATGCTGCAACTACAACAGTCTGCAGAGCAGCTAACCCCTCAACTACTTAACAGTAAAACGTGATTCGCCTCATCAAATTTGGTCTCAACGAGTTGTTAGTTTACATTGTGACTGTATTTTGGTCCCTTGTATAGTACACATGTTCTCATCTTGCAGGAAGTAGGCGTCGATGATGGAGAATTCGATGAAGACCAGGAAGAAATGCCGCCTGATGAGGAATATACCACTGAAGCGTAAACCAAGCATAAATTATCAAACAAAGCCATCACTTATCTGGGTGGGACTGGTATGACTTTTAACCATACTGAGATTTTATAGTTTTTGGACAGGCCACTGTTAGGTTCTTCTTGTTCATGTTACTGATAAGGCGATGGCTTTGTTTCTGTATTGAATATTGACATTTTTATAATTAGTTTATATGATAAGGATATATAAACAATAATTTATAACAATAGTTTCTTTTTAAACAAGTTCTGTTTAACGCCTACCAGTTTTGGCAGAAACGGCATCAGGACTAATGATCGCTTCACAATTGACTGTCTGGAACTGCGATCATGAATATCACCTAAGTCTTTGAGAAACAGTTCACTTTTGGTTCAACTCGCAGCGCACTAATTACAGACAAGCCAAGTTTATGTAGCATGCAAGCAATAATTTTAACACTCTATGCATTGACCTAGTAGGTCAATGACTCTGACCTGGATCTTTTCAAAGATATATCATAAATATTTCAGTTCTATGTTTCACGGTCACGGTTTATCTGGCAAGCAACAGTTGATATCGGCTGAAGAATAAAAAGTCTTACTAACAGAAGAAATCTATAAATGGTGGTAATTGTTTACTGAATAATAAAAATAAAAAACTTGATTTTGAAATTACATTGTTTTATTTTTTGTTCCCTAAATTAAATCTAATTTTATTCAACGGTTTATTTTCTACTGTCCTTATAACTTCATTACCGAATTTGTTGTAATTCAATGCTTCATTTATATTGCTAATAGTCTCTTTGTCCGTTGATGTAAAATCTATTACGTCTATATCTTTATCTCTCGGAATATGATATAATTTATTGCTATTTTCTGTTACTTTTGAATCACTTATCAACCGTTTAATTGATTCCTCTTTAGAATAATCAAGTAACAAATTATTTTCATTACTAATTCTATAATCATTATTATCAGAAGTTACTGTACTACTTTCACCAATATTTTTATTATTTACAACTTGATCTTTAACAAAACAAGGTTTAAATCTTTTTTCAAGAACAAAAGTGTCTTTTTCTATCTTTCTTTTACCTTCATCTTTGTAAATAACATGTGCTATCTGCTTTTTAATACCAATAGTATTAATCTCGCCCATATTTACTTTTACAATGTCTATTCTATCTGTTACTTGATCTGTCTTCTTGTTTGTTACTATAGCTTTATTATCGTTATTTTTGGCTAGCGGTGTTTGACTATCTTTCTTTTCTTCCTTTTCCTTTTGCAAATTGTTCAATCGAAACATGATTTCCCGTTGCCGTTGCCAAATTTTCTGTCTAGTTTGGCTTAAACTTTCAAATTCAGGAGCGTAGCATACATGTAATGAACCCCCGTAGAAATTCTTTGTGTCGAGCATTTTTTTAGCTAATCGAGCTGATTGAATACTGTCAAACACTGCGTGATATGTTTCGGTGAATGACTCGATTGTGTGTTTAGGGGTCATGGTGAAAGAAATTAACTTGCCAAATTTGGTGAAGAGGGATTTAGTTTCTTGACGCAGGTTCAGCGATGGCACGTTGAAGATTAAGAGATGGTTTGATTCATTGTTCACTGTGTAAACCTGGAGAAAAAGATTTATTATTATTAAGGTGGATATATTGTTAATAAGGGTTATTAGGTAGGGTTGAAACAGCCGTGCTTTCCTACTACAGGGTGAAATAAGTTGGACTGCTGAGGTCGCTCTCTGAAGTCTTCAGCAAACCCTGAGATTCTTGGAGAAGCTCGGATGAACTTCACCAGCGTAAAATGGGCTTGACGAAAATTTGTTTCATGAGTTTTTGATTCTTAATTATCTATTATATTTCAATACAACTACAACGCATTAGGTTCCTGCCTAATTACATCCTGATAATGGTAGTAATCCGAAAGAGATTCTGAGGTAGTAATTTTTAAATATTTTTATTTCGAAGTTTATTGTAGACCTTTGAAGCTGTTACAACTGCACTCTCGTACAGTTGAGCAGAAATCAAATCATTTATTGTGTACATACGTTTAGAAGGTCTTATATAACAATGTTGTGTCAGTACGTATTGCCAATTTTATGGCACACAATTTGCTTAATGAAATTAATTTAAAAGTATAGTGTTAAAATCTATATAGTATAGTGTTAATTACAAATCTTAATTTTAATTTCAAGTCTTAATAATATCGTACATGTCAATATTGTGTCGTAGTTAATTATTATTCTATGTTATTGTCATTTAAATAATCACTGACTTTCTAATACGCTTTCCTGGTCAATAAATTAAAAACACACTTTTTAAAATTGGTAATGTCATTTGTATCAAGGATGTGATTTGGAAGCTTATTGTATAACTTTGGCGCCATCGCACAAATATTTTCATGAAAGAGGGTACTCTTACAGGAAACCAGTTCCAATTTATTGTGTCTTCGTGTATGTTCCACTTTGCTGAAGAGTGAAGGATTTTTGGAGCAAAAAGAACTGTTTCAAACATATATGTCGAAGGAACTGTTAACAATCTCAGCTGTTAAAAGTGTGGTATACAACTATCCATATGACACAATCCGCAAATCGCCCTAACACATCTTTTTTGTGCAATCAATACACCAGAATTCCTCATTTGGTATTACCCTAGAATATAATGCCGTATCTTCTATGGCATAGCCAGACATTTGTCTGGCCATGCCACCTCCGCCGGGCCCCGGTAGAATGGGCAGACCCATGAAGTGCTGGCTTGACATCGCCAAGGGTGATATGCGTGCCAATGGTCTCACCACTAAGGATGCTGAAGACCGTGCAAAGTGGAGGAGAAAAAGTAGGAAAGCGGACCCCGGGCTCCGCAGCAACACTGCTGAGGACGCAACCGGGACAACGCTCAGATGAGAGAGAGATAATGCCGTATCTTATGATTGACGCGACGTATCCGTGGTATGCCACCAGTAATTTATTTTGAAAGTTCATTCGTAATTGTTAGTAAAACAAAAGAAAAACTTCGACACTAACATTAGTAATAACAAATTCCAAGTATTAGCTATAGATTTAGGGTACAAATGAAGTTTAGTTCAGTGTTCAAGGAATTAACCCTGGACCCTGCCAGCCATAGCACTCAAAAGGCTGCTACTACTGCCTTTCTTTCGCACTATGCCAGAAAAGAATGTTTTACATGATTTAGTTTGCACTTGATCAGAACTGAAATAAATTAAGGTGGCGCTTTTTTTATAATATTAAGTGACGGGACAAATATGTCGTGCGCCTGATGGTAAGCTATACTCCTGTCTATTACAGTTACAGTGCCACTCAGAGCTTTAAATCGCAAAGATCTAAGGGGCACTGTCATTGCGCCCGTGACACTGACACATATGTTAACAAGTCTCATGTGCCTGTAATTTCACCAGTACCCCTTCAAAAACCGAAACAGTACTGCCATCCGCTAACTAAAACGTTTTTTTAGACATCTTACAAAACCAGAACCCAATTTTAGAATATTGAAATTGTTTAATGATATTACAGCTATGCGTCGTCAGGGTAAGTTCCAATAAGTTGAACATGTTAACTAATTTTAGCTGTTTTTAAAAGAGAATTTTGTGCTCTTTTTTTGCTACTTAAAACGGTTGTTTCACCATTTGTCACTTAGCCACATTTTAGTTAGTGGACGGCAGAGTATAATGCTGACATTACAGTAGAAATAAGAAAGATGGCAGTACTTATTTGGACACTCTTTCACAAGGAACTCCACTGCTACTTGAGCTTTACGAAAAATATAATATCACCTGTTACAATGAACGTGGATAATCATAACATGAAGATTTGCTAAAATGGCGCACATTCAATGTCCAGCCAATGAACCAAAATGATGATAATGGTTAGGAGACTACGGCATTATGGTAATGGACTATACAACAGCTCACAAAACTATTTCAAGTCCTATGAAGTCTCTACTCCGTATGGGGCTGGCATGGTGGATAGTTGTACCACTTTCCAGACTGATAATTAGTTGAAAAACGTATGTTTGAAATAAAAATTGATATAGAGTAACAAAACTAATTTCACCTTTACAGCAGTGAGTTTTCGACCTTGCCTATATGGCAGTCGCGTGCTACACAATTCCTGCTGCTGATGATGAGGCAGAATAATTTTATCTTCGGGATCAGCAGACATTTTCAATCGGAAATTGTTTCAAATAATTTGTTGCGAATCAACACAACACAAACTAAACAACACCTAAACAACGAAAACAACCTAAAAAGTTGACAGCTGTCACATTCCGAACATTTTTTGGTTTTTTTTTTTATTTATTAAGGCTTTGGCGAAGCCATCAGCCTAAACATGAAGTTTAATTATGTTTTTGTAAATGTGGCCGCCACAAAGAGGATAGGCAATTTGAGGCGGCGTGCTTGGATCGACTCGGGATTCCTTAAAACGGGCCGATACGGGTATTCTAGTTCGAGATTCGTATAATTTCGCGTTTTAATCTTCGATTAAGGTACAATAACACTATCCTATTCCACTTTAAACTAGATTTCACAAAATAATTGAAAGTCAAAATAAAAACGACACTTTTCCCTCCAAAAGGTCCAGAGCGAATCTTTTTTCCTTTTCTTTCCATCCTCTAAGGTTTTTTCATTGGAAATGCGCCATTTTTTATTAAGAGTTTTTCCTTGGATACAAGTTTTTTGAGCCATATAGACATTTAATTATGAGGATCCTCGTTTAATATTTACCATTGTGGTTCTATAACATTATGTTTTCAGTTACTCCTAAAAAACTTAGTTCTCTTGTCTTATAAGGGGCGGGAGTCAATATTTGTTTTCACTTTCTTTTAAACACTTTGAACAAAAATTTGAATTCGTAATTATTGGAATCTTCAGGATAAACTCTTTTGTAATTTGGTTTAAAATAAGGAATATAGTTCTAACTTTCTTAATCATTATTTCTTTCTTCGTATTTTCTTCATTATATACTTATAAGATATTATTGAAATGAAATGAAATGAAAGAACTGTACTTGTAACTTTAAAAACCCACCATTTTTCTCCGAAATTTTAGGAAACATTCTATTCATGTTCTAACATTTTTGAAATTTGAGGGAATGGAATTTGCTTATTAACCGACTTCGAAAAAGGAGGAGGTCCTCAATTAGACTGTACGTTTTTTTCGTATGTGCGTTACGCGATAACTCCGGTATTTGTGAACCGATTTTCATGACTCCTTTTTTGTTGGAAAGATGGTACTTCCATAGTGGTCCCATTTCATTTTGAAGAAAATCATCCACCTCTAAGGGTGGCTGTTCACGCTTGAAGAGTCATTTTTATAAATAGCGCCTAAATTTTACTTAAGGAGCAATTATTTCAGTGGTTGATTTTGCTATTTCTCCAATTCAATGCGTTTTTCTCTCAATATACTTTGAGTTTCTCAATACATTTTGAAGAAAATCATCCACCTCGATGGGTGGCTGTTCACGCATGAAGATTCATTTACAATTTTATTTATACTTTGAGTAGCGAGAACCGATTTTTATTATCTCCCGTGTCAAGTTCCGTGTAGTGGCGAACTAGGGGGTGAATCCGGGTTTTGAGGTCGGTTTTTTTAGCACTCTGTACTGAGATTATAGGAAAAAAACTTGCTCCTTGGAAGTAAGTAAATAGTATCAGCAACGATGCTTTAAACAACAAAATATCTATTGAAGGTTGCGTGCAGACGTGTAAATTATTTCGCTTACACTCGGGCGCAACGCATACTAAGCATCTAGGATTGTAAGCTGCAGTATTTTCCAAACGGATAGACTGATCTCAAAGCGATTATTTTTATTTGTTGGTTAATTTAATCAGGATGTTTTATACCTGTCTCTAATTAATACTTATCTACCTGTTCAGCTGTTAAAGATCATCAGCTCGTTCACATTGTCACAGCAATATTGGTATCATCAGCAAAAATATTATCTATACCTACCTATACGACGCTAGAAATAAATAATAATAAATAAATCTGTATTCATAGCCATTAACATAGCAGGGAACAAGCTTACGTAATAGTGCTTCATTTAACAGTGACTGATTGTTGACCAGTCGAATAACATCCAGACCTCACAAAAGGATATCAATAGAATCTTTGTCCTGCAGAAACGTGCAGCTAGGGCAATTTACAATCTGCCCCAAAGTATCTTTGAGAGATAAGTTTAAGGAAATTAACATTCTTACACTAGCCTCACAGTACATTTATGAGAATGTAATTAATGTTAAAAGGAATAGTAATTTATTTATGAAAAATAGTGACAGACATAACATTAATACGAGGAATAGAAATAAACTAGCTTTTCTTGATAGTCGTCTTCACAAAGTCAAAAAATCATTTAAGGGGCAATGTATACGCTTCTATAACAAGATT